CTTCAGGAGTTACTTTGCTATTTACCCTAAAACAAATAAAACGGGCCAAACCTCGAAATACTTCTCTGGGTGGATGGGCTTTTTAGAGTGTAGACCCCTTAATGGCTAGCAGCTTTTTTTTCCTTTTTTTTTCTTTGCTTTCTTTTCTGTTTTGAGTGCTGTCCCTAGGCTAGGTTGAAAAGTATTGGAAAGCAGAATCTTGATAAAGACTTTATTTTCTTCCTCTTTCAATTACATAGAAAGGTACATTTTTTTCCTTGGCCTTTCTTTTCCCCTGCTTTCTAAAATAGAATTTTAAAAAATAAAGCAGAGAAAGATCAGTTGGAGAAGTATATAGAGTTTGTCTCATGAGCTGGTTTGCATGAAGAAGCAGCTGTTTTACTTTTAACTCGATTGAAAAGTTTAAGTTGCTTGCTAACAGGTTTGGCTATAAAAATTTTGCTGAACATGAAAAATTATCAGAGAATTCCATCACAAATAAAAAAAATTCATGGACGAAGACTCGTTATTCTGGCTGCACAGAGCCCTGCTGTTCATTAATGCAAAAGTTAGGGTTATGAACAAGACCCTATGCTTTTACAGTCAAGCAAGACAACGGATAACTAATAAAATATCATGACTCGAGCACAACGTGCGCTGGTAGTCTAAATGAACATTCTCAATTTCTAAAGAGCGTGCTTCTTGCTTCATGAAAGCAAAGACAAAATAAACTAATGTAATACAATAAAACGTTGATAAATAATTCATAAATATATTTAATTTTTATTCCTTTATATTCATTTATTAAATTTAATCACAAATAATATTTTAAAATTTATTTATATTATTTTGTTATGTTCGATTCTTTTATGAAAACTAATAAAATATTTCAATAATTTATAAATAAACTTAATTTTATTCATTTATATTCGTTTATTAAATTTAAAAAATGATCATAAATAATATTTTATGATTTGTTAATTAAACGAACAAATCACGAACATAACAAAATTAGTGTATGTTCAATTTATTTATATCCTTATGAACTATGAACTATGATGCTTTTGGCTTATTCAATATAAAGTGATCAAGTAAACCATTTTGATAGCTAAATTTAAATTGGAGATATGATAAATGACAATACGTACCAATTAGATGCATGAACATATCTTACCGAATGCTTGATTACTCATAACCTTCTAATGACATCATGAAATTTCACAAAAAGATTAATGATTCTTTAAAGAGTTTGATTGCAGAAAAAAGTTTCTTATTTTAATGGAAGTGCCATGTATGTTGTGAGACCAAGATTTTTTGACGTTATTCACTAACTGAAGGAACATTTCCCTAAATCCAACGATCAAAAACACTTACAAAATGTTTTTAATCTTTGAATTCACTTATCCGAATTTAATCATCAGTCCTAAATCAGTACTGTGTACTTTCACCATACGCACCCATGAGCATAAAATTAAAACTTTACTAATACCGATCTGACTCTATAGTCATGGGACTCATATCGCATTCTTAATCAATAAATTCACTTCAACATGTTTCTATCTAAAAAAACAAGGCTAAAAGGATAAAAATACATTAAAATTATAATTCTATAATTATTTAAATTTTTAATATTTTATTACAGTCAATTAAGTTCTTAATTTTTTATTTCAATTCAATTGAACCTTTAAATAAATAAAATTTAATTACATAACAAAATTTAATCAATTACTTTTCAAATTACAATCAATTAAACTCTTAGAAGGATCTTAGAGAGAGAGACATAAAAAATTGACAAGAAGAAAGAACAATGAAAAAAAAAAGAGAAAACTTTATTTTATTTATATTTCACATATATCAATTATATCATATAACAAATTTTCATTTATTTTATTAATGTCACGTGAAATTTTAGCTTAATTGACAAAATAATTAACAAAATTAAATTTTTTATCCAAATAAAAGTTTAATTGTACGTAAATAAATATTTAAAGGACTAATTGATTATAATAAAAAAATAAAGATTTGGATTTTTTTAACTATAATTCAACATATTTTTATACCATTTAGCCAAAAAAAAAAAAAAGGAAAGAGAAGGTATCATTTCAACCTTTTGCATCATCTATATCCAGTCCCCTACTTTCACCACCAACTTAAACCACTCCACCCAGCAATGCTTATATCCAATACAAGTGCTAAAAAACAAAGGAGAAAACAAATGCAACTATTTATGTGCTGATGTGCGTGGTTCCATTAGAAAGAGAAGAAAAACTCGGATGTCTCGAGAGGAAATTGAGGATGAATTAACAGGAATGAACTTGTATCAAATGAAGATCCCATGTTTCTACTGAGATTGGTAATTTTGAAGTTGCATTCAAAAGAGAAACAGTTGTTTATGAACAAGCAATAAGCCATGAAAAGCATGCCACTATTCCCAACTAAACAACCAGCCTACAAACAAAATGGTGATAAGATGCTTCCCAATGCTTTTAGTATTCTGCAACTAAAAAATAAAAAACAGAAAAATTAGAGGCTCACGATCAAAATGAGCAGGATCACTGAGTTTGAGGAATTCCTGTCCGGTGAGCGGAGAGCTAGAGTTTGTAGGATTTTTTCCCGCCGTTGATTTGTACGTATTAAAAATACTCGCATGATTCAATTTTTTTTATTTTATCATTCTATTTATTATTTTTTAGTTACAACATTTATTTAATTAAAAAATAAAAAGTTGAATTGAGGTTACATTTGAATATTTTCGTTGACTTTTTTTTAATAAAATTTATCTAATAAAAACAAAAAACCAAAAAAAAATTGAAAGGAAAAAACACCCAAAAAAAATCATAGATGATGCTATGAAAACACTCTCATTGAGTTTAAAATATTAATTTTTTAAATTAAAATATCAAATAATAATTCTGTTAATAAAAATTAAATTAAAAATAAAATATTTATATTTATATATATACTTTGAAATGGATTAAGATAAAACAGTTTAATTTCATTTCAATGTGATCTTGATTCTTTTGATAAACTTGACTTTTCTTAATTCGATCCTGATTTAAAAAAAATTATCCGCTTTCGAATTGAGATTGATTAAAACTCGTTGAATACAAATTGTTTTGCTATCTCAATTAGTAGGCATATTTTATTACAAAATTTATCTACTTAAAAATACCAAAAAACAAGGGGAAGAGAAAAAAGCTAAATGGGATACCATATGGACACCCAAATTTGTTTTTCTTTTTCTCAAAATTAAATTAAAAACAAAAAAAAGGTAAAAGGAAAAAACAAAAATAAATATAAATATAAATATAAAAACATAAAAGAAAAAAGAAAGTTCATTGGGGTACAACATAGATATTCTAAGTGAGTTAAAATATTAATCTCTTAAATTAAAGTACCAAATAAAAACTTTATTAATAAAAAGTTTCAAAAAAAAGAAAAAAAAAAAAAGGGAAGCTTTGAAGTGTTACATGGACATCTCAATTGAATTTAAAATATTAATCTCTTAAATTAAGGTATCAACACCTTATTTTGTAATTTTTCTAGAAAATGAATCTCCATACACTTTTTTTATTTAGAGAAATATAATGAAAAAAATCTGAAAGGAAAAGAAGAACAAAAGGGAAAAAAAAGTTGTAAAGGTAGACTTGTGGAAAGAATGGAAGGCAATCAAAAGTTGGTTAAAATGTATAAAATTTATAATATGGATGGATGAATTTATTGTATAGATGTTGTGCAACAATTATATTATAGGTATAATATAGGTATCACAGAAAAACTGAGATGTGTCCTTACCGGGGATAAGAAAAAAAAATGAGAAATATGAAAATCGATTCAAAATTATAGTGTTTGATTTAATTTATATTGGATCGATTTTTTTATTTGATTTGGATCTAGTTTAGATATTTAATGTATGTATTTGATTTAGATCGAATTTCAAATCAAAAAATTAAAAATTAAAAGAAATTGAATTGAACTAAATTATATATTTTTTAATTTTTATATATATTTTAAATTTTTATAAAATAAAACTAATAATTTTATATCAAAATCTATTTAAAAATATTAAATTTTTATTTTAAAATAATATATATAAATTAAAAATTAAAAATCAAAAAACTAAATTGAAGTAAATTAATTCATTCGGATCAAATGAAGATTCAATTCAAATTTAAATCAAATTTTAAATTTTTATAATATTATTCAATATTAAAAAAAAATCGAATCGAATTCGATATAAACCAAACCGGTATGAGCTGTAATCCTTATCTCCTTCGTGATCAATCTCTATGAATCCTTTCAGCTGATGAAATAGTAATGAAGGCTGATACCTCAACGAGAAAGCTACTCATGAATCATAGACATCTATGCAAATAAACCCCACATGACTTGTAGTCTCCAACACCTGACAGTTAAACAAAGTTCACTAAATTTCTCTAGATAAACATATTAAAGGTCGGAGAAACAACAACTTTTATCGGTAAAAGGTTTAAATAGCTCTTAAGAAATAAGTCTTTTATCCAAAAGTTATCACGTATCTGATTTGAAAAAATTCTAAATTTAAAACCTGAGAAGATAATTAATCTATGAGCAGTAAATCTGTATAAAAAAAATAATAATGAGCCTCTAATTTGAAAAATAATCTTTACCTTTGTAATTGTGAGTGAAGCAATCTAAAAAGCAAAATTAAAAATGGGTAATAAGGTTTTAAACTATTGAAAAGGAAGACGATAAAAAAATTAGAGGAGAACAAAATTTTAATAATTAATTAATCTTAAATAAAATTTTTAATATTTATTATTAAAATTTTAAAATTTTAATATTTATTTATTAAATGAAATATATTTTATTATTGATTGATAGTATATAAAAATGATGCATTATTAGTATTATTAGCATAACAAATATTAACTTTAGGATGTTTTAATCATGTTTCGAAAAAACGGGATTAGGGAGTCATAAGCACGTGCTTAAAACGTGATAATGTAACAGAAATTAGAAGAAAAGGACACTACCTGAAATCGAAAAGCGAAAAGAATAATTGTCCAAAATTCTGATTCCAGGAGGAGGCCACGTCAGCTGAAAATTAGAATCATCCACACAAAACACGGGCCTTTCCCTTCTCTATCTCCCGATCGAGTCTCGACACCCTTTTTGCTTTTCGTGGCGGTGGCGATGGCGATGATGGGTCAATGAAGCTGAAACTTCTTTCGTATTAGTAATGGCTTTCATCAATCTCAATTATTCCCCAATTCCTCTCTCCCGTTTACAGTAAGTTCATTTTTATTTCCTTTTAGCCTTAATCTTTTCCCGCCTCCCATAATTTAACCTTTTTCTACGAAATTTTTCTTATCATCCTTAATCTGTAATTTTTTTAATTAAAAAATGTTACTTTAGGTGTTTCCATGTTATTATTTCTAGAATTCTAGTCGTTTAAGAACACGGGTTGATTTTTTTTCTTCTGTTTTATTTAGACAGTACAATGATGCGAATCCGATTATTACAGCAAATGGGTGCAACGATGTTTTGTTTTCGAGTATTTGTACAAGAAGGACAGGTTTGAGTTTCAAGGGTGTTGGTAAAGTTAGAGCTGCTTTGGTGTCTGGAGAAGGGGATGTCTTATCTTATTCTAATGGTAATGGAGTTGTTCCTGGGAAGACTGGTTTTGTCCATGAGCTTGTTGGTCAGCAAACTGGGATTGAGATTCAACCTGATGCTATTGGTTTCGGGACACTTGCGGGCGAAATAACTCCTATGACTAGTGGTTTCTTTGCTGATGAATACGACCTGGACCGTCCTGCAGAGGGATTTGCTTCCATCCTGGAAGCCGTTGAAGATATTCGTCAAGGAAAGGTTTGTTTTTGTCCTAGTTATATGTCTGATAATCTTTTATAAGGATTTTTTTGGCCGACTTTTATAAGGACTATTGCACTGCTAATTGAGGAAATTTTGCAGTTGGTGATTGTTGTAGATGATGAAGATAGAGAAAATGAGGGTGATCTGATAATGGCAGCATCATTGGCAACTCCTGAGGCAATGGCCTTTATTGTCAAGCATGGAACTGGAATTGTTTGTGTGAGCATGAAAACTGAAAACTTGGAGAGGTTGGAGCTACCATTAATGGTAACCCAGAAGGAGAATGAGGAGAAACTTTGTACAGCATTCACTGTATCAGTGGTATGTCCTCTGCTTGATTTAGAGTACATGTGAAAGCTACACCTTTTGTCTAAACTAGCAAGTTTTGATTACAGTCCAAGAACTTTCTTCTAATGGTGGATTCTTGTTTCAGTGTTGTGCTTTCCTTCTATAATTAATTTCAAATTCTGTATCCTTGTTTTGAGATCAACTGCATTGGTTTCATTTAGGATGCAAAGCATTGTACAACAACAGGTGTCTCTGCTCGTGATAGGGCTGCAACAGTACTGGCTTTGGCGTCTAAAGATTCAAAACCTGAAGATTTCAATCGCCCAGGTCATATCTTTCCCCTGAAGTACAGGGAGGGAGGGGTTCTGAAAAGAGCTGGGCACACTGAAGCTTCTGTTGATCTTGCTGTATTAGCTGGGCTAGAACCTGTGGCAGTTTTATGTGAGATTGTGGACAATGATGGCTCAATGGCTAGGTTGCCAAAGCTTCGTGAATTTGCACAGGCAGAAAAATTGAAGATTATTTCTATCGCCGATCTAATCAGGTATATTGTTGAGAGCCTTTTTCAGAGTGCTGGTGTTGTTAAAGTTAGGGGTTTTATTACTTTTCTTAACCCTTAAATCTCCTCAAACCAAAGGATAGATATTTGTCTTGTGAATTATTTTGTAAACTGAATTGCCCAGTTTGCCCTCTCCTACATGGAAGGGGGAAGAAAAAAAAGGGAAACTAGGACCTGCTACTTAATACCACCACATACCTGTTCTCGTAGATGTACTGTGAGAGAAGAAAGAAGTTTGACCTCGTAGACTTAGTAAAACTTCCTTCCTTTGTTCCGGCTCCTTTTCGGTATGGTCTATAGAGGGAAACTAGGACCTGCTACTTAATACCACCACATGCCTGTTCTCGTAGATGTACTGTGAGAGAACAAAGAAGTTTGACCTCGTAGATGTACTGTGAGAGAAGAAAGAAGTTTGACCTCGTAGAGTTAGTAAAACTTCCTTCCTTTGTTCCGGCTCCTTTTCGGAATGGTCTATAGATATGAGCCCAAGAAAATGAGGAAAAAAAAAAAAGAAAAGAAATAAAAAGGAAAGGGCACTTGACAGTCAATTATTGTTGCTTGTTTTTATAAGTTCTTCCAACTATGTATGTCTATGTTACTTTGACTCTTTATTTATCTTGAAATATTAGTGTTGCAAAAATGTTCAACATCTCAAAGTGGACAAGTTTATTAGGGAATGACTCTCCAAATATAAGGAAAATTTTTAGGAGTAGGTGAATATAACCTTGTTGGAATGGTGACAAACTTTTATATCTGGGTATAGGCAACATAACTTCTAAGGAACCTTGACATCAGAACTCATCTGCATTTTTCCATTTATTGACTATCAAAATTGATCCATTTCCTGAAATTTATATTACTATAATTGACAGATATAGAAGGAAAAGAGATAGGCTGGTGGAGCTGGCTGCTGCCGCATTGATACCCACAATGTGGGGCCCATTTAAAGCATACTGTTATAGGTCATTGCTAGATGGCATTGAGCACATTGCGATGGTTAAAGTAAGCATTTCATCTGCATGCTCACCACCTTCATCTGTTTCTTATTTATGTTGAGTAAGCAACACTAATTTTTGACAAACAGTTTTGAAATCTGGGAATTCAAGGGTATTCTTGATGTTGCAGCATTAATTTGTGCTTCGATACTTTGTTAGAAGCTACATTGAGTTTATCTTGCTCTTCAGCAATGCACTTTTATTGCTGACTTTATGTGATGTTGGTCCTTTTGTGTTTAACTCTGCTAATCTGCACTGGTTTGTGTGCTAGTCATAAGACATGTTTCAATACTTTATAAAAGCACCGCTCGGCACGTATACTTCCAGGCAGCATTTGTGAGTCCTGTTGCATGTTATTGCTCGATCACTTGAGTTGTTCAGCTGGTTATCCAAGATGATGTACTTCCTTTCACAGACCTCAGATCTCACAGAATCTTCCTCTGTCCCAACAGTGCCATTTTTGTGATTTTAGTGATGATATCGCAGCTTAGACGGTAGTTTTTGGTAGGATTACTTTTAATTATTATTTGGATTTTGTAAGGTCTGGAAAAATACTTTGCATGTGAATGGATTAGGCACACAGGCTTAAAGAGAGAAATACATAGTAAGATGAAATTCCTAAGAGCTTTTGAACCTACGCAGCGTTTGTTGTGTCATTAGCAATAAGGGAAAACTTATCAATCTGGCTAGGTGTGCGACTATAGGAGTAGGACGTTAACCGGATTGTGGTACATGCTGGGTGAAATCGGTGATGGCCAAGATATTCTTGTGAGGGTACATTCTGAGTGCCTCACCGGTGACATATTTGGGTCGGCCAGATGTGACTGTGGGAACCAGCTGGCACTAGCAATGAAGCAAATTGAGACAGCTGGGCAGGGTGTATTAGTGTATCTTCGTGGACATGAAGGTAGAGGGATTGGTTTGGGTCACAAGCTTCGTGCTTACAACCTACAAGATGATGGACGTGATACGGTTGAGGTCAATGAGGAGCTGGGGTTACCTGTTGATGCTCGGGAATATGGCATTGGTGCACAGGTAAATTTCCATGAGCAATTTGTTAGGTATCATTTATGCATTGTTTCTGTATTCATCACAATTAATCACTCATGTTACCTCCTGCGTTATATATTCTAATATTCCAAAAGGCATCGGATAATGAATCTCCCTTTGGTTGAAGTCAAATCATAGCTTAGCTAATCTATGAAGGCAAATTAATTCGATTGAAACTATTGGCACCATTCATTTTTGGAATTATACGATCTTTAATGTAATGTTAGAATGTTGTCATAGTCTGTAACATTGTATTTCATGCTGTAGGAAGATCCCTAGTGTGGTCATGTCTTTAGACATACATCATATGTGTCATAACATATAAATCCGAAAATTTATAGCTAGATTTAACAAATAGAGTCGCCACTAATCTTTTTTAACTAGTTGTGATTGGTCACCTTAAGGAGCTCCTAAGTTTGACTAAGGGTCCTTAAAAAAATAGGTTCGAGTCTACAAACCAAAACAGGATTCGGAAGTTCGATTACATGTGAGAAATGTTATAGCACCCTCACATGCCCATCCAAAGGATGGTACCATTTTATTTTAAATTTATCTTTAGGTGTTGAGCCTAATGGTTTCAAATTTTTATGTTAAATATTAAAAATAATTCTTAAGATTTTTCATCAATCTGGTAGAATTCTTAAAAAATATTTTCTCACATCAAGAGTATTCAAGAATCCATTTGATTTTTTGAAGAGGCTCTGTCGTCGAAAATATGTTTATTTATTATTTTTTTTTTTTGAAAATATATCTAATTATTCCATCATTTGGGTTAAATTGAAAATATTTTCTCTTTTTGAATTTTAAAATTTTTCACCATTTGGGCCTATTTAAAAAAAAAAAAATTTCGAAATTTCTAAATTTTTTTATCATTTTGGTTTATTTAAAAAAAAATTTTCTTAGAAAGAAAATAATATGACAATTATTTTTATTGAAATTTCATTTAAATTATTTTACCATTTGGGATAAATTTAAAGAAAATTTCTCACCTAAAGATTTATTAAGAATTTACCATTTGAAATTTTTAAAAATCTCATCATTGGTTAATTATCATATATTTTCAACCAAAATTTTATTTGAAAAAGAATACAATTACTTGTATTGAAATTTTATCTAAATTATTCAATCATTTTTGTCAAATTTAGAGAAAATTTTTCACTTAGAGATTTCTTAAGAATTTTTCATTTGAAATTTCTAAGAATCTTATTATTGGATAATTTGTATTTAATTCCAAAATTTTTATATTTTTTATTTATTATTTTTTTTGTTTGAAAATAAATATTAATTATTATTATTGAAATTTTATCTAAATTATTTCACCATTTGGGACAAATTTAGACAAAATTTTTTACTTAAGAATTTTATAGAAATTTATCATTTGAAATTTTTATAAATTTCATCATTGGATAATAAATATTTATTTTTAAATTTTATTTTTTTATTTTAAATTTAATCATGCAAAAAATACTAAAAATAAATAAACACATAAAATAAATAAATAAGATAAAATAAAAAAACCAAAGAACTGCTCGGCTCGAAACTAGAATCTAGTTCGGCTTACAAGCACAAAGATCAGCTCAAAGTTTGCGGCTTAGGGAACTCAGCTTAGCTTCGCTCGCCTGAAGGTTGGCTGGAACACGGGTAGACCAAAAGCGGGTTGCGCTCGGGTTGGGTTGGTCCCAATAAGAACACGCGGATCTTAGGGTTTTTTTAACGCTAAAACGACGTCGTTTTGTAAGGGTATAAAAAGTTAAAATTGATCTTTTTTCATCAGAGTTCTCTTCTTCCTTCTCTTTCTTCCCCTTTTTTCTCTCATTTCTCTAAAAATCCCAGAATCCTATTGAATGATCTACCGAAAATTAAAAAAATACGTCGAAAACTGAAAAAATACGTCGAAAAATTTAAATGGCGTCGGAAACTTGATCAAAATCTGAAAATTTTTTAGAAAATTAAAAAAAAAACAAAAAAATCCTTGAAAAATTCCTAAAAATCCTAAGACTATTTCTGTACCTTCTAAACACTTTTTTGCTTCTGTTTTTATGTATTTTCGTGTATGTTTTTTTGTGTATGTGATCCACGGATATTTATAAATCTCAATCAGAAGAGTTTTTTATTAACCCCAATTTCATTTTTGAATAGGATTACCAGAAAACAACAAATTGAATCCCACTCCAATTCTACCAGCCACAATTTACGGTAATTTTTTTTTATTTTTTTAATTATCTTCTAAAATAAAAATTATATTAAAAAATAATAATTAAAATAAAATTCAGAACAAATAACCCAAAAAAATAAAAAATAAAAAAGGGCCAATTTATCTTATCTGGATCAGGTTCAATTGATCCGGATCTAGACCAAATTGAATGTCTACAATATATTATACTGACTACTTCCAATATTATATAAGATAATTTACTCCACATGCTTGCATCGTTACATGGCTGAATTTAGGGTTCTATTTGCTGCAGATACTACGAGATCTTGGTGTCCATACAATGAGGCTGATGACAAACAATCCTGCAAAGTATGTTGGGCTTAAAGGTTATGGTTTGGCCATTGCCGGCAGGGTTCCATTATTGACCCCGATAACTAAAGATAACAAAAGATACTTGGAAACGAAACGAGCAAAAATGGGGCATATCCGAGATATAAGGAGGTCTGTTTTCCTGTCCTGGTGTTTTGAGTTGGTAATTCATTTAGGTCTGCTGGGACAACAACAATGCTTTGACTTTGGAATGAAATTTTGATTTATTATTCAATTTAAAATTTCACACTAATAAGGAACTTAATCATACCAAAGATCCTGGTTTAGCAGTAGCAAATGTATTCCATGTAATGCTTTTTTATTTATTTTAGTTATTTTCACTGCATCTGTTTACAGTTCTTTAGTAGCAATGATGATTGTTACGGCGATTTGATGGCTCTTCACATGGCCATCATCTAATTTTATCCTATTTCTTACATTTTACTTGTGTAGGTTTGTTCTGTTACAATAATCCATGTATATAGAGCCAAATGTGTGTGTGTAGATAGATAGATAGATAAATAGATAGATAGGGTTGTACACACATCTTGCATGCCTAACTAGTTGGAGCCGGTGCAGATACCGGCTCGTATAAATGATTTTAAACTATTTCACATTCTTCTGATGCTTGCATGTCTGTTTAGATGTTATTGTAACCTCTACATTATAGAAGTCATGTGCAGAAAAGGATGTCTGGGATTATTATCAGACAAGAAAAGAAGAAAAACAGATGAAAAGCTATACGATAGAATTTCTTTTGTTTCCTTTGGCCAAGCACAATTGAAACGAGCTGACCATTTGGTCATTCAGATTTTATGCTTTCTATTGATTTTCGATTTTGTATGCAGCAATTAAAGTAAAACACAACCATATACACTTTTTATTGACAATTTAAAAAACAATAGAGACAGATATGACAAAAATAATATAAAAATAATAAAAATAATACGATTTAAAATTTAAAAAATTATAGATGGATTTAACTAAAACAAAAAATATATGTATTATTGGCTTTTTTTTTTGTGGGCACATTGTGATATATAATTTTTGAATAAAATATAATATAATTATATAAATTACTTATATTTTACAATATAATAATATACACTATACGAATATACTTACCAGGTCTATCTTTGCTGCTTTTGCTGTTGGATTCTGGATAAAGAATTTGCTATGACTGCTGACAGAGTTTTAATTATCATTCAAAATAAATATCTACAACCAAATGCAAAACCCACACTAGCAATACCAAGCAAAGTGCCAATGCAACTAACCATGACATCTCATCCCCATTTCCACCCTCAACTCCCTCTTGCACCAATCTTTTCCCCTTGGGTTTGTCGCAACAATGGCGGGAGTGCTTCTCTTGCTTTAGTAATTGAGATTGCAGCTTTGAGACTTGAATCTCAAGCAATCTCACCCACTGCCGATAAGCAAAAAGCTGCAACGTATCTTTCATAAAGGCATTCGATATACGTTCCTTTTCCTGAGCTAAGCCTGCTGCCTTCATTTCTGCTTCCCTTGCACGCGTCTGAGACAATCTCAACGCCTTCAAAAGCTCCAACTTCTCACGCTCACCTTTATTTCTACGTATCTGATCATTCTCTCGTCCCATGCTGCTCATTGACAAAGCTACCACCTTATCCAACCCTGTAAAGACATTTAGAGGAGGAGGGAGATCACAGTTTTGCATGAAATCAATACCATACTTCTGAGAAATAAGAGCTCATAACGTCATATCATTCTCTTTAGCAACCCTGGAATAATTTAACTTCTGATTGATCTGTGCCTGTCTGGCCATTGTCGATGGCTCCATGCAGGAAATTTACAACCCTGTATTAATCTCAGGGTGCTTCTCCTGGAGTTGGTTTTGATCAGATTTGGAAGAAAAAGCTGTGTTTGAGCGTAGAAGGACGAAAAGGGGTTGGTGAGTTGGAGTAAACGGTTTTTATTCTTTTTATAGTGGAAATTCGTTTCTTGCTTGCTTACACCGCAACAAATAAAAACTGTTGGGGTCAGTTTTTGGGTTCATTCTTTTTGTAGTTGCTGAAGCCCCCTCTCCACCTTTGCTCCAAGACTATAGATTGATTAATAAGGGGTTTGCTTGGAAATATTGGAGCTAGACTTTTATTTTCCCATTAGAATAAAGCTACAAAATTTTTAATTGATGTACCGTTCTTCTCTTTTAGTGCTTATTTTTTTTATTCCTAGAAGGTTGGCAGCTTGAGACAAAGGTACAGAATGAAAATCTTAGGATTTGAATTTCAAATTTATTTAATTTAATTTTTTATGATTATTAAATGAACCAATTGAATTTAGTCTCGGGGTTTGCTAAAATTTTTAATACTAACAAATTATAAATAAATAAATATATATATATATAATATTTTACATCAGGATGGTGATGAAACTGATGTCTTGTTTGTGTCTAAAAATGACCCTAACCTCGAGGGAACCTGGGCTCTTGAAAATTCCAGTTGTGTTTCACAAGTTTCTATGTTTTGGTTGTTAGTCACAACTGAAAGATATTTTTCCAATTAAATTGGACTAGAATTAGATTGGTAATGAAGGTAAACCATTGCCCAAAAGAGAATGTTACACATTAAGATCCCTGTACCTCTTCCTGCAATTTGAGAAAACCAAAAACAAAGAAAAAGATACAAAAATCTGTCCACAATAATCTAAGAGATGTATAATCACCCAAAAATATCTGTTTATGATCTAAATATTTCTTTCATTTCTTCATATTAATTAGTTTTCTAATAGCTTGCACTAAAATATATGTGAGTAGGGCACATCTCAACAAAAATATTTTCTCATGGAGGTTAAGTTGGATAAAATTAGTTTTATATTAAGAGATTTTTTTTTTTTTTGTTCATAAGAGGACAAAACCCTTACAAGAAAAAAGAGATGATGGGGTTAGAACTCACGTCCCCATATGTATTAAATCTCTCTCTATATATGTCTGGTTTTCTGAAAAATGGAAAACCTTGGACCGCTCATAGTTATCATTTTGCACTCTGAAATCTCAATAAAATGAATATTAGACTTGAAAAAAAATAACAAAATAAATGTTGGACGAGTCCAATTGATAGGATCAATGTGTTTGTTCATTGCCCGACTGTATCTCTTAGCGGCCAACGCGTCAAATTATTCTGTATGTGTCCATACCAATTGGCCCGATATTTTCATCAGATAACTATAATCAAATGCTTTACTTAAATCTTAAAAGAAAATTTCTGAGACTGAACTCAAATTATTTTTTAAATTTTATAAGATTGAGATCGATTCGATCCCTAATATTTGACTCAATTTTTTTAGTCTAATTGGATGTGGCAAGCTATGAAATTAAGCTATGAAATTAAGCCATAAATTAAGCCATGTGAGAATAAAACTCTCCTTTTTTATATAGAAAGCCTAAAAAGAGAGAGAAGGCCGCAGCCTATTGCTAATCACTCTAATTGTTGATCCACTAAGTTTGCTAGAAAGGAAAAAAAAATTTTTGTGACATCCAATAGTTAATGTACAATGTATAAAATGGAGTGGCATAGTCTTATCCCCAAATCATGAAATTTGGTTTCTTCCATATGTATCACCTTTTTTTAATGAACGGAGTCAAGAGTCTTCAGTTTTACTCAATGAACAAGACGTTTTTGTTTAGCTTTTGCAATTTTTGCATTCATTGTATTACATATGATCTTAAAATCTTCTTTGAGATGAGGAGGCTTTGATTAGTAAAAACAGCTTCGTTTGCTATTTTCAAAGCTGCCAACATTGGACACTCCCAATTCCGGATAATCAAGGGGTCTTCCTCAGCATGGACGAAAATCAAGTGCTAATAATAATGTCGAGGACCCCAGTATATTTTCAAAGTTTTTTACTTGTTTTCAAACTTAATTTCGACAATTCTTTGGCAATTTTGTAGAAGAAATTGCTCCCAATTATCAAGTTGATGACCTCGCTTATAGCACATGAAAAGTTGTTACTGGTTAGGGCCGATTTCTAATTAAAAGAGTAAGCTTTTGTCATCAAAGAGAGGGACGAGATACATGAAAATTTGACCAAGTTATTTGGGCAAAAAAAAATCATCTCTTATTTATTAACAAGATTAGCCATGTTGTCAACTTGATAGCATGATTTTCATGGGAGTAGGTTAGTGATGGTATGTTTTGTGACTTGAGATTGAAGGAGAAAGGAAAGACAGGGATTGCCTCGTTTGGATGTCACAAAATTAAGAGGGGAAGGAAAGAATCAGCTAGTGTGTTATTTTATAAATAGAGAAATTATTTCATCTCGGTAAAGATTTTAAATTTTACAAATGAAATTAATAAAATGATCACATATTTCTTATGATATATTTTTAAAAAAATTTTAAAAATAAAATGTGTATATCAAATACTGACTTTTATAAAGATTGTCCTTTATACTAATAACTTAATATCATCGTTTTATAAAATAAATAATGTATTTGATGTATAATATTATAATAGGATAAAAAAATAATATTATAAATAGAGTTAAATTAAATAATATTATTTTATATTATGTTTTATGTATATAAAGATTAAAATATGATAATTTATTAATTAATCAAAATTATTTTTTTCAAAGTTTATATAATTAAATTATTAATATAGTTTTTAAAATTATAATAGGATATATAAACTTAATTTCATGAATTAAAAATAATTTTTTTGCTTTAAAAGAATTAAATTATCTTATACTAAAAAAATAATTAATACTCTTTGCTAAAATATCAATTTCTTTTGATGCAAATTAAAAATAATATAAAATAATTATCATTTTATTTTATCTATCATCTTATATATCAAATTTAATAAAAATAAACAAATGCTTAGTTATCTACTTTCCTTTCTATTCCCCCATTGGATTATTGAAAAAGATTGCCGTGCTATTCCCTTTCCCTCCTTTATCTTACCCAAACAAGGGAATTGGTGCTTTTTGCAACCCTTTCCTATCCGATCCTTCATTCTACACATATGAAAGTGTTACGTAAATCATTGACTACGGGCTATTGGGCTTTGGTAGACTAAAACTGCAAAAGGAATCAACCCCTTGAAAAGGGTGGGGCCCCTTGAAAAGGGTGGGGCATGTTTGTGCCCTTTCTTTCCCATGAACCCTACGCCAACGTTTACGCGGAGTTGACTGCAATGTGTCTCTTGACTTGGACAAAGCCAAAGAAAAACGAAACTACCAAGTAAATGCATATGCGCAGAGTAGCCTTTCATTGAAAGCGAAATGTCTCAAATGAAAAAAAACACAAAAAGAAAGTAAACCCAAAAGCCAGACTTGTTTGTCACACCATTAATTCTGGCCTTCATTCTATGGAGAAGGATAGTCCACAAAAACAAAACAAAAGCAATTTCTTAATCTCTTCTCTTCTCGTACCTTCCTTCTTCCAGGCTCAAAGGGCATGAATCTTTAGACCCCTGCTTGATTTTCCTCTGTTTCCTTTCTGTTTCTCGCAATGCATCACGCTTCTAGATATCTAATGCCACCACCAAAATGTTATTGTAACAGAGGACCAAGGAAGCATGAGAACTGTGATCAATTATGTAAGCCCAAGCATGAACTGCTGCCAGATCCAGTACGAAAGATATTGCCACTGCCGCCACCTCCTAGCTCTACTAATGCTCCTACTGATCGTAAGGAAAGTAATTTGATGATCACTGGCATGACAATCATGGGAAGTATGATAAGTGCTGCTCTTCTTGTTGCTATTTTTTGTGCAATTGTTAGATCTTATTTTAACAGGAGAAATCGTTCAAGGAGAAGAAGTTCACCTATTATTTTTGCTACTCGAGATGATTTTCTTGAAGAAGAACGAGGACCACATTTAGACAACCCCATATGGCACATCAACACTGTTGGTCTCCAACAGTCAGTTATTGATTCCATCACAGTTTTTAAGTATAAAAAACATGAAGGGTTGATTGAAGGAACTGAGTGTTCTGTTTGCTTGAATGAGTTCCAAGAAGATGAAAGTCTTAGGCTTTTGCCCAAGTGTAGCCATGCTTTTCACCTTCCTTGTATTGATACTTGGTTAAGGTCACATAAAAATTGTCCATTGTGTCGTGCCCCTGTTGTTTGTGAAACCATGGTGGCTCAGGCGAGTGCATCAGAGCCTAATTCGATGGGTTCAGGTTCAAGGAACGAAACCCTGGTTGAAAATTCAGAGAATTATGGTGGTCTTGGGAGAAATGATGTTGCAGAAGGTGGAACAAGTGAATTGAGAACTTGTCCAACTGAAGATGTAAACGCTTCTGAAAATTCGAAGAAAAGTTTGGTTCATTCTAAAACTAGGTCTTCTGATTCTGATTCTCATGTCTTAAGTGATTTAGCCGGGGTTCAAGATGATGTTCAACCGATGAGGAGGTCAGTTTCATTGGATTTATCCTCTGCCTTGGAAATTTATAGCGATGTAGCTGGTCTTCGGATTGGAGCACATAAACATCATGGAAGTTTGGACACTGAATTACAACAGCTAAAGCATCCGAAGGGGAAAATTCTTGCTAAGCGAGGCAGTGAAAGTTCAAGCATATGCAAGCTGATGAAAAGTTCTTCAATTGGGCGTTCTTTATCCAAGGGGCCTATTTCAATGAAAAGATCTTTCTCATCTGGTGGAAAATTCTTATTATCCAAAAAAATCAAAATCCAATACTGATTTCTGCCTTTGTGAATTCAAGGACAGTTATACATAATAAAATTAAGGCTGCACCAGAATACATGAAGAATCCAGTTATCTATAAAGTCCTAGAAAGAATAGTTTGTTTTTGTACAAAAATTTTGAGTTTGAGTAATAAAATTATCTGACATATGTAGTTTCAAGTTTCAACTTCTTGCGTCTCTGAGTTGTTTGATGCCTGTCTAAATCCACACTTTCTCCTTTTTTCTGTTACAGGCCGGTTGTCATCGTAGATGAAGGATGCTGTTGATAATTTTGATATATATTTCATTTTCTGCTCTGAGTTCTAGCAATAAAATTATGCTTGTTTTGATAAAACCCTTGGTTTAATTTTTACCACTTTCTACAGATTCACAGAGCAGCTATGGGATATGCTAAAGCATTGTGTATAATATTGGTTTGTTTTTATTATTTTCTCTTACTCTGTATCCAAGTCTCCAACTTGATCTCAAAATTGCCAAAACCCCGATCACTTGTCTGTTGTCACTGTCACTAAGCTGAAGGAGCTTCAAATCTTCAAAGCATTACCAATTTGAATCTATGTTAGTTCTTATATTGCTTCAATTCGTAATTTTTCATGAAATAATCGCTTAATAAGTATACTCGAATTTAAAAAAAAAAAAATGAATGAATTTGTATCAGGCACATATTCACGTTTGTCCTATCAACACCCAAATCTAAATAACGTAGGTTGGGATTATCTTCCTTTTCCTGTATTTTTTAAAATTTTCACTCAAACACCCTGTTACTCGCTTTGAAAGAAAATATGGGCAAGGAATCTTATCTAATAAATATTGGCAATGGCGTTGAAATGTTTTCTTAACAACTATCTTGAAATGTTTCATCAATTTAAAGTGGCAGCTCAAATGTCACGGTCCTGCAATGTGGGTCAAAAATCTCGAATATGTATTAAAATTGATTATAAGATATAAAAGTTCACATTATATTTTTTTTGTACAATATTTTTTATAGGATAAAATCATAAAATCAAAAAAGATCGAAACAGATAATACTTCAAAATAGTGTGAACCGTAATAATTTCGAATTTGGATGCCAAATAAAATTATGCTCAGGTCTCGGAGCCGCATGAGCTTAGAGATTGAGTTTCGTTCCGTGACAAATGATATCAGATTAGCTCTAGGGGTATTGACGATGTGCTATTGAAGATAATGAGTTTTCGTTTTTATGAGATAAAATTATAAGATCAAAAGAGAACCGAAACGAATAATATCTCACAAAAATATGAATCATGATAATTAAGTTGATCTAAGACACTGGATTAAACCATATTTGAGTTTTAGAGTCACAATCTTGAAAGTTGAGTCTCATGTCCGTTACAAAAATGCATTTTGAAGACTAGTAACATGTTGCTTCTTCTTCGTTGAAAGTTAAGTTGAAAATGAACGTGTTTTTCACGACAAAGAAGATTTTAAAGTCTGAAGATTGCCACTTTCTAGCCAAAAATAAATATAAAAATCCAGCTTTGCTATATATTGTCATTTTTCCGGATTCTGTTCCCGTTGATACCAAAGAGCGTTCACATTCTTTTCTTCTTAGTTAAGTAAAGTGGACCCTCGACATGAGAGCTCCAAATGATTTGTACTGTCATTTTTTTTTTTTTGGAGGTTTGGTGACTTGGTGAATTAATATCATCTATGGTAGAGCTTAGTTGAGTTAGTAAAGTTCAAATATTTCGCATGTAAGATTAAGGTTAAAGTCCCGTTGTCAACAATTTTCCTTTGTGAGTAATCTGTAAAGTTTTCTTTAAAACCTGTGATTCCTTATAATGGAAAAGACTCCATTCACCCTAAACTTTTCTTCCACCAAAAACAAAAACTAATCTAGCATGTAGTCGAAGTTGATTACCAAGAAGAAACTTTCTGAAATTCATGCACGGAAAAAGGCAAAACAGAAAGGAATAGCAAGAAAATAAGAACAAAAACACAATGGTTTATAGGATGTTTAAACTAACCGTTTGTTGTATACTTTATTGCAACACCTATAACCCGTAATCCCTCACTGTTTAGTTCTTCCACCACATTTAAAATCCTACCATGGCCTTCTGCAGAGAAAGCTTTTATCTCACCCCTACCTACATGCTCCACATAAGAACAAACTTTCGTGATCACATCTTCAAGTGCTCCTTAATTTGGTTATCATGAATCTTAGAAGGGTTGGCCATTTCTGCCTTCCGGATTAGGTCTGTTTCCAAAATAATATATACTCTTCTTCTCTTAAAATCAAAAGGGATTTCATCTATCTTTCTCCATTTGGATGGTTAGAACCAGTATCCATTTGTGTACACAAATGCCAATATTGCATCATCTAGAGGATATTTCTGATGACTCTTGAAGCAAGAATTGAGGAAGGTAAAACACAACAATTCAACTAACTGTTCAATTGTTCATCTACATATTCATACAAAAAAATATGTATAGTATGGCAATATCGAGAGAGGATAATATTCTCAAGTTATCGGATTTCTAACACAGAAAACTTTTCTTTTTCAGTCTAGATCTCTGGCAATGGCAATAGTTATTGAATCGTATATTCTTTGGAATATTACTGCTTTTGATTCAATGAAGGTCATCAAATATTCTTCTCATAGATTAGAATAATAAAGGGGGTTCGAAACAGATTTGGGCAAATGTACATTTTTCAGCTGCAAAAAGAAATATTTTATGCTGGTGCACTGGTGCTATGAAGAAATTGGAAGAAAAAAAAGGGGGGAAAGTTGGATTTTCTTGCTCCTGCTAAACAATTAAAAAATGGTGATGATGTTACTATGTTTTTTTTTTTTTTTGGGTGTGTTGGAAGTTTGACCTGTTCAAATTCTCACGAATCTGCAAAGGCATCTTTTATGAACTTACCTGGTTCATCTATATTCAACCCTTGCATGAGACATGTTCCTCTGTCATAGTATTATAATTAAGCCTTAAGAAATTCATCCCATGGGAGGAGAAAGGATTTATGTCAGGTTACTGTTCTTAGGACACAGTTTCATTATTGTTTGCCCAAATTTGCATGTTAAAATCAAGATAAATGGCTTGTCGAATGCTAACGCTATGCTAATGAACACAGCTCAAAAAAGGGGGACGGGCTAAAAAACTGGTTTCAGGACACCCGCCGCTAGACTTGAAATCAAAAACTATCTGTGGATGAACTAGAACCAAGGTCACTGTGACCGGAAAAAGAAAATACTAAATTCCTGACCAACGTTCCTTTCTGGATCAATCAAATGGAAAGATTCAGAATCAGATGAACCACAAACTCTCTCAAAGTTAGCCCTCAGGTACATAAGTTCATAGTCACGATCAAGTTCCTTTCCAGTAATCATTCCTGCGCCAACAACATCTGAACTCATTTGCCTTAATGCATCCATATTAGCCTTTGATGGCCTCCGCTTAACTGCATAGCCAACTTTCCATCCATTACAGTACATAGTCCACGCTGGCATGGACAAAACAGAATCAGAATTTCCTTTATTCCGTGAACTGGAACAATCCAGAGCAATTCGGAGGATATCACCTTGCATTTCTCTAGCCAAAACTGCTGTAAGGACCGCAAATTCAAGGAGGAGAATTGGGTTGGTGGACTTGGAGTTTGCTTGGATACAAAAGCTGACTTTTCCCCTGAGATAACCAAAGACGGTACCTGCAATTACACTAGAAGAATTGTAAAAATGCTTTGGATAATAGCTGTGAAGGCAATCCTGTTTGATTTCTTGGTCTTCAATGAAGGTGCAGTAGCAACTTGGGATAAGGAGTTCCATAATGGAACGCAGAAGCCGCCATGACCGGACATGTTTCTGGCAGTCAACAGAGGTAACACCATTTGTTATTTGGGTGGTGGCACCAATTGCTGGACAGGACATGTTAATTTGCCTTATGTCAAATATGGGAGGCTTGGTTTGTGGGTTGTTGCAGATGGTGAAGGCTTATATAAGAGAAGATAGTGTGCTTTTGGTTGTTAGGCTGGCCAATTAATTACTTCTATTTTAAACAGGTGTTCCATCTCAATATTCTAATTCGAGTAGAAAAAAAAAAAAAAAAAAACCTTTTTGCTTTTATATTTCTTAGAGATATATATATTTTTTAATCAAATATGTTCATATTAAAGAAGTGTGATCAAGTTTCAACTGCTCCAACAGATACAGGTTTAGGTGTGGCCTTTGGGGCCTCAGAAATTAGACCATTCCTTTGTTTCATGTGAAAAAAAAAAAAGAAATGTACTTTGCATACAAAGAAGACTAAAGAAAAATTGAAAACGGAAAATTTGCGGGTACTGAATTTCCTTTTTTCGAATATATTTGAAACTGTGGAAGCAAGTATAGTGGATGAAATATTCTCCAAATAATTGGACTGACATTTTTATTTTCTCTGATCAACTTGGTCTCCCGGCAGAAAAAGAAAGGGAGAATAAGAAATGTCCGTACGACCAAGAAACCAAAACAAGCAATCTCCCCGTCATCTAACCATTAGAGACCTTTGGATACTGCGCACTATTCAACTTCCAATTTACAACTGTTAAACTTAAAACGTAATTTATTTTATGCAAAAGAAGGAATATAATCTTTTGTGCGCTTCCCCTCTCTGGTTTTGGACCCTACATTTTATTTGCCTTGATCTTGTTTTGAATTTGTATGTATAATACAGAACACGAAAGGTGGTGATGGGAGCCTTTCTTTGGGGTTCTTGGATGGACTTCGAAGCAAGGGAACTCAATTCATGCAATAGGAGCAAATAGATGGGGTTTGGTTTTTGCCTTATAGCCTGGTTTATCCACTCATGTCCTTCCCCTTTTGTTCTTTCCACGTGTTTATTACTCACTAAATGACAAGAGAAAATTATTGCGTTCCTGTACTAATCCAAAATTAAAGATTTAGTGCATGTAATAAAATTCATTCACATCTAGTCCTTGATTTAATCATTTTAATTCAATTTTTAATTTTATTAAATTTCTTTCGTAAAAATCTAATGTAATTATTAATTTTTTAATGTAATTATTGATTTTATTAATGTGACAGTTTAATTTATTATTGATAAATGTGGATTTATTAAAATATCAAATGACATATTAATAAATCCACATCATATTTTTTCTAAATTTTAAATTTTATTAATTACAAAAATCATTGCTTAAAAAAACAATGATTGAAAAGAAAAACAAAACAAATTCCCTAATAAAAAAATCTTAACCTGCCTGTCCCTCAAAAAATCATTGTCATCGTTCATACAATCCAAATTTCTGCGACTGGCAGCCACACCAGTCGTCGTCAATCGCAAAGAGAGACCAAGTGAAAAGGAGAATAAATATATAAAAAGATATGAGCTTTACTTCAATGGGATTGAGTAATCATGCTCAGTCTCCAAATTGGGCCTGGTAGATTTGCAAAACTCATTACCATATAAAAAAAAAAAAACCCATCTTTTTAATAAAACCATGAACAAACACAAGATTAAAAAGACAATAACATTAAACCAACCGTAAAACTAATTTCACGACGGCTTTACAATTCCACATTTCCCCAGTTAAACCCTAAAACATACCCACAAGAAACAGCCAAAGCAAATAGTAAAACTAAGCCTTACTCTAAGCCCTCTCGCCCCTAATCCGACGAGCCAATTGGATATCCTTAGGCATTATAGTAACCCTCTTAGCGTGAATTGCGCACAGATTGGTATCTTCAAAAAGCCCAACCAGGTAAGCTTCAGCCGCCTCCTGGAGAGCAGCCACGGCGCTGCTTTGGAACCGCAGATCGGTTTTGAAATCCTGGGCGATTTCTCTTACCAGCCTCTGGAAAGGGAGTTTCCTTATCAAGAGTTCTGTACTCTTTTGGTACTTTCGGATTTCACGTAAGGCCACGGTTCCTGGTCTGAACCTATGGGGCTTCTTGACTCCGCCGGTGGCTGGAGCTGATTTTCGGGCTGCTTTTGTGGCCAATTGCTTCCTTGGTGCCTTGCCTCCCGTGGATTTCCTAGCGGTTTGCTTCGTACGAGCCATTTGGGTAGTGAGATGAAACTAGGTTCTAGTGATAAGTTGTCTGCTTCTTGATAAAATGAGAGAAAACTTTGGACGAAGAATCAGAGAGGGCGTTGGGGTTTTTTATAGGGGAGCATAGAAGCGCGGGAGATTTGAAATTTTGAAGCGGAGGGGCGGATCTTTCCATTTTTTCCTTTCCGATCGTACGGTGGAGAGAAGGTGTGACGGGGATTGTGATCCGCGTGAAATAGAAAGGACCAATAGGATTTTTTTGTTTAGGCTCTAAACATCTTTATTTTCAAGCCCTATTTACGAAATTTTGGAGGGATTGAGATCTTTGAAATTTTTGAATCTCTTTTTTTTTTTTTTCCGTATTTCGTGTTCTGCGTGGAAAAAAAGACTGTCGTTTTGAAAATTTTGAAGCCCATTGAAAACCCAGCTTACTCATTTGAAGGCCCAAGGAAATACTACAAATCAAGAACGAGGAATTGCCTTTTTTTTTTTCGAGAAATGCTAACAATTTGAATAAAAAATATTTTAAATCGAATGTTAGATGGTAAATTTTTTAATTTGTTACACATATTTACCTTGTCAATATAATTAACTCTCTTATACACTTAGTCAACACATGTTAAGCTATCACATTATCTCTCTTTAAGAATTAACTTACCTTTTATTAAAAAAAAATCACCCAACATCTTTATTGATATCCCATCAAAACATCACTTTATAATTAAACATTTGATTTTTAATTTGTTTGAAACATTTAATTAAACAAGATAAAAAGAGATCTAAATACGTAAAAATTTAAAACTTAACCACTTTTCCTCCATTACAACTTCCTTAATACATTTCACCTTATTCCTCGTAAAACCCTAAATATTTCACTAACTTAAATGTTGGAGCACGTACTGTAAAACCAATTTCAGCACCCCTTGTCATACTTTTTGGCTATAGATTTGGGCTACTTTTCCTTTAATCTTTTACCAATATTCTCCAACTAAAACATCTATAAATACCATTGATAAAATTTCTTTTTTTTTTAACACATTATACTATTATTTTAATTATATGTTAAGCAATTTTATAGATGTGATTAAATTAAATAATTTTTTAAATAAATAAATATAAAAATTTTGATATGCCACAATGCACAACCACCCACCTAATCCATTAATGTACGAATGAATGGTACGTGATAAAACCCAAGTCACGTGTCACCCCTTTTTTTTTTTGCTTTTTCACTTTTTTTTTACCTTTTTAACCATTTTTTAAAATTTTAATAATAATTTTTATACATAAAGATGTCACATGTCAATCTATGATTGATCTTTATTTTTTTCTTTTAAAAAAATTTTTCATTTAAAAAATTAATAAATTATTTTGAAATTATAAAAATATATATTTGTAAAGATTATATTTTTATGTATGAGACATACGTATACCCATTTTTCAATTTTTTTAATTTTTTAAATAAAAAAATAATTAATCTTTTTATTCTTTTGGAATATACTTGAATGATGTATAGTTTATAATTTCATTTCCTTTTGACTATCACATATTATTTTCTAGGTTTTACTATTTTTCTTTTTTTTTTTTTACTTTTCTTTAAATTTATTTAATAAATACTTTTAAAAATTATAAAATAATATTTTTAAAATTTTTTTATATTTGAGACCCATTTATATTAAACTTTTTTTTTACCTTTTTAACTTTTTTCATAATTAAAATTTTTAATCATTTTTTTTAATTAATTTTTTCATAAGACTCCCTTGATACTAATTGTATGTTATGTGTTCTTTTTCATAGTTTTCTTATTTTTCTTACTATAATTGGCCAAAATTATTATAATACCCCTTTTATCATAATTATAAAAATACCTATCATATTACATTTGGCTAAAATTACTATAATACATGCTAGCTATAATTACAAAAAAATGCCATTTTGATTGCTTCATAAGATGTCTTTCCTACTATAATTATGAAAATACATTTTATATTATAATTAATCGAAATTGCTATATTGCTCTCTAATTATAATTGCTAAAATACCTTTTTTAATTGCTTCATAATTATGCATTAAATTTTAACATTTATATAATAATATGAAATTAATCCCCTTAGAAATGATCATAATTTTTTTTAATTATTTGAAAATTAAATTACATGCATTCAAATTGAATATAAAGCCACTTTTTCTAATCGTTCTCTTCCATTTCTTGTCCTTCTAAGGGTATCCTTACGTTAGAGCTTGGCACCAATATTTAGCGCATCAAGTAAGGGACTTTCTATTTATTAACCGGGCATAAGACAATGCTGCCAAGGAAAAGAGCTTTAGATGAAGGAAAAACAACCATCCTGGTCGAAACAAAAACACACAATAGCCAGCACTCAAACCGACTTGCCCCACAACAGGTCGATCTAACCATGAAGCAATTTCAGGCTCTAACCGAGCACATACAAGCCCTTAAGCAAATGTTACAGACTATAACCCCACCACAGGCCTTAAAAGTACCTGACCTAGTCACCTTTAGTCAATAAACCATAGAAAGACAACTAAGCTATAAAAGAGTATAAGCCTTCTCAACCTCTAGGGAAGAATAACATGATATTTCAATCACTCACCAATACTTGAGTCATAACTCAACAGACGTCACAACCCAAAGATCAAATCAAAGTAACCTGGAACCCCAACCAAATAAAGACCTGGAAGCTCAGATGCAAGCCATGAAGAAAAAACTAAAAGCGAAAATGGTAGCTCTTGAAGACAAGTTTAAATTTTTAAAGACCTTGCAATTCACTAAAAAATTTTGGCAGAGCTATGCCTTCAAAGGGATTTAAAATGCCAACCTTAAAAACTTATGATAGAAATTTTGATCCATTTAATTATTTAAAATTTTATAGAACTAATATGATGATGCAGGATGTAGACGAAACTCTGATGTGTAAAAACCTTGCTACTACCCTCAAGGGCACAGCTTGGTCTTGATATAGCAGCTTAAAATCAAAGTGGATTATAACATTTAAAGAACTCAACCATTTCTTCTTGTCTCAATTTGTGAATAGTCGAAGAACAAAAAAGATGACATTAAGCTTGATGTCAATTCATTAAGGTCGAAATAAATCTTTGAAAGATTGTCATGCATTTTAACGAAAAAGCCTTACAAGTGAAAAACCTAAAACAAACAACTACTGTAGCTACCCTAGCAAGTCTACTCAATGAAAAAAAATACCATCTTAAGCTGAGTCACCCAAGAATTTGGCAAACATCCTACTTGTAGCTAAAAAATACATAAATGTTGAAACTGCAATAAGAAATAGCTAAGGTGAACCTCTCCTCTGTAGTTGAGGTAAGAGAAGCTTATCCCTTATTTTTTATTGAAAAAAAAAAGATAAAAATTTCTATAATCCTTCCTTAAAAAAGAAATGATATAGGGCCAAGATCTCCAACGAAAAAAAAACTACACAACACTGAATACCTCATAAAAGAGGATTCTGATGTAAATTGAAAGAAATCATGAGCTCAGATAGTTAAAGCCACTAAGGTAAAACACAATGAGGGATCTAACTAAAAGATATACCTTTCATAGAGATATAGGTTAAACACCGAAGATTGTGTCGACTTGAAAAATGATATTAAAACTCTAATAAAAAAAAGGTCTGCTAAGGAGGTTTGTGAACTAACAAAGGCAATGACAAATAGGATGAACTACAAAAAGGACCAAAGAAAACCCATAAAGGAAAGAGAAAGTAAACTAAAAGAGAACATGAGAGAAAAAAGTTCAGAGGGATGAGATAAAAATGAAATGAGGGCTGAGCTACAGATAATAAACCAATTATCGGGTAATCAATATGATTACTAAGGGAAGCTCCACTTCGACTAAAAAAAAATTTGATTAAGGTATAGTCATGACTATTGGTTCTTCGACAAAGAAAAAAAAAGACTAAAAAAATAAAACGATCTCATTCTATTGAGAGGACTTGAAAAAAACCTAATACCCTCACAATGATGCTATAGTGATCACGATCGTTGTGTACGATTACATGGTTAGAAGGATCTTATTCGATAATGAATGCTCAACCAATGTTATGTACTACGCTACTATGAAAAAGATGAAAATCAAAGAAGATCAGCTACAGTTGATCACTATGGCCTTAATTGAATTTGAAAATGAACAGGTAGCAATTAAAAAAATTATTAAAATGCCAATCTCTTTAGAGACAGAATTGAAGAAGATCAAATTAGTCATAGAATTTATGGTTGTAAACATCTCATCTATTTATAACATGATACTAGGCCAACTTAACTAGTCTGTTATGTGGTTTATAGACTTAGCTCCTCATCTGAAAGTAAAGTTTCCATAGGATTAAAGAAGTAAAGGGAAAGCAGTTCATAGCACGATAATTCTATGTCACAACAATGAAAAAAAAAGGCTGAAAAACAAATTAGTAGTTTGACTCAGGTCAAAAAAGAAGCAAGCAATAGAAAATGAAGAAAAACAAGAAAATAAGAGTAAATACCCACAATAATAGAGAATCGACCTGATAGAAATGCATCTTTAAGTCGTTCTAAGCTCTTAAGCTCTACTTTAACAAAAGATACATAATAATTTTTTGTAATTTTTGAATAGATCTTGAAAGTGACCAAGCTCTTAAGTCGAGATGAATATTCACGTGTTAATGGAACCGAGCTAACACACTGGCCAAAGAAAAATTGAAATTAAATATAAACACATTTTTTTTAGTTATACATTCTAATCATTTTATCAATAATATACTAACTGTCATATCAGGATTTATCTTCATAGGAAGCAGTATCGACCTAACTGAATAGAAAAAAATAATTAATCAAAGACCTGAGACAGATGAAAATCAACCTAAGTCCATAGAAGACCTTTTATCCATCATATTTTGGGAGAATACCCTCAAAAAATATATGTAGATCAAAATTAAACTCAAACATAAAAAGTAATTAATCCAACTTTTAAGGAATAATGTTTACTTATTTAGTTGGACATTATTTGA